GGATAAAAGTGTTTTTGCTAAAAAGTTTCCCGATTTATATTTGTTATTAAAAACTACTGAACACGGTAAAGAATATTGTTTTTGGGCAGATGTTGTTTATCATATGGCAGATGAAAGAAAATACAATTGTACAGCTGTAAATCCCAAGCATGCTAAAAAAATTATTAAAAGTGGTTTTGGTCGTTGGCTTAAATTATTATCGTATTTTTTATAACAAAAAAATACACGGTGATGTCAGTGAAACTAATTTAAAGGTAGTTGACGAAATTAATTGACATTAGGAAATGTTAATCAGAACACTTCAAAAATGTAATATGAGTTTGGGTTTATTGTTAGCTGCAAAAGATAACATAACAGAAGCGCATGAAATTTATGAAGAAAATCCTGAGGAAGATAATGCGATCAGATCTTTATTTTTTGAGTTGCTTATTGATCAAGCAAAAAAAAGAATCATCTTTCATATGACATTAAGAAAAACAATTTATAAACTTTTAAAATTAACTAAATAATTTTTTTTCTTTATTATTGTTTAATTAACGATTGTAATTATTTTTTATTATTAATGCTTGTAATTTTTTTTAGATTTAATAAAAAAATAATCGAACTCACTGAAAATAAAGTAAACGGATTAATGAAAAAATTTTTATCACTTTATGAATTGTTTCCGTTTACATTACAAGAATTGATTACACAAGCTAAAGATTTTTAACCTTTTGTATGCGATGATTGTTTAGAAAAAGACAAATATTTAAATGATGAAATTAAAGATGCTTAGGATTGTTTTTTTCTATTCGATTTTGCAATATTAGAGGAAATGCCATACAATCATCAATTAAAAAACATTTTGATTGGACTTTGAATTATTTTTTAGAACAAAATTTTAAACTGTTTTATGAATTTTTTACAGGTTATATAATGAGAAGATTCTTTTGTTTCACAAGTTAATAAATGGTTAAATAAATACGATGATGATGATGAAGAAGAAATAAAATGTCATTATTGTAATAATCTTTATTAAAATTTTTTTATAGATGAATTATAAAAAAAAATGTTGGTGAAATCAATCTAAACGTGAAGGAAAAAATGGACGTAAAAAAATATTTTTTGCGTTGATTTTTTTTTTTCATGTTAAATTATGATTTTTCTTTAGATATATAAAGAAAAACAAGATAAAAATTTTCAAATATTTGGAAGGTGTATACAAATAAATACTGGTTTGGATGATGAATATGTTGACGAAACAGTGATAAATTTCGAACATAAAAAATTATATAAAAAATTAAAAAGTTATGTTTTAGAAGTCAAAGGAAACAGATATTTATGTGAACGACTTCGATACGAATCTATATCTAATTGTTGTGTGACTAATTTGAAGGAAGTGTTTTGGCATGCTTATTCTTTACCTATAGAAAAAAAGTGTTACGATACTACATAGTCATTTGATTTTGATTAAAAGTATGATTGAAATTTGTGAAAAAAGAATAAAAATATCTGAAGATATACTTAAAAAATATAATTATTGCGCTGAAAGTCATTAAAGTTTTTTAAAATTTAAAAACGAATAAAAAAATAACCTGTTAGAATGTTTAAATTTATATATTTGTTGTCCGTATTGTAAATTTAATAAATATAAATAATTGTTTTTAGATGATAACAGAAATTAAATTAAACGATATTTTGGAAATGTTAGAAATGGTCGCCATTGCTTTATTATATGAATTTATTATATGAATTACGTACCTATGGAGGTTGTAGTGGAAAAAGTGTATATGGAACAAATACAAGAACAATTATACAAAAAAATGAATTGTGAATATGTAGATGAATATAATTAGGGTACGTTGAAATCAACAAATAAAAGACAAGTGCCAATAAGAGTGTGTGCATTTGTAATAATTTTAATTCTATCTAAATTTAACACAATAAATGGAGACATTGAAACTGGCGAATTATTTGAATTTTATCAATTATTTTATCAAAATTATCAAGGCAAAGAAAAATTTATTAATGAATTAAATGAAAAAATTGAAAACAACATGAAACGAAGACTGACAGAATTAAAACTCAAAGACAGTATGAACACTTTTAAAGATCAAAATTTGGCTAATTTATCAGTGGATGGAACGCTTACTGGAATAATTTTTACTTTATCGCAATTGTACGAAAAAGCTTTAGCCTATAAAGAAACATGTGGAAATTGCAAAATTATATAAAATTTTGATCAACTTGAAAAACTTAAAGTTCCAGAATCAATCTGGACTAATTGGACTCAATTTTTTTATTATCAGTTTGCTGATAATTATGTTATTTTAATTTTGTTAGAAGTATTGTTGGAAAATTTTCCAGTTTATAGTGACAAAGAATTTCATGAATTTTATTATTTTTTAAAAAACTACGATACAAAATTAATTATTGAAAAACAAAGAATCGCACATTTATTAGCTTTATTTAGTTGGAACAAACATGATAAAATATTAAAAATGTTAAGTGATTCTAATAATGTAGATATTTTTTATAACAGTGGTATTTTTTTCGAGTTGGCTTTATCAAGAATGATGTTGATATATTTAACGCCTTGATGGTTTATTTTGAAAAAAAACAATATCCAGATAAAAATGATATTTATAAATAAAGAAAAAACGAACTTGTTGACTTTTTAGAAAATTGTGCTTATCACATGGAACATTCTTTAGAAAGAATTGTTGAAAATATATATAAATTTTGTTGATGAATAAAAATTTTTTGTATTTTTTTTAGATGGCAATAACAGAAACATTATTAAATGAATTAATGTGGATTTTTAATGAAACGTGTCTTAGAGAAAGGTTAACCTTGGAAAAATTTTGTTATTATGTTTTACGTTTTGATGAACAAAATTGGGAATTGTGTACGCGAGTCGACAACGATACAACAACCATTCAAAGAATTCAATGTGATTTAAAAAGTTTTGGAATACCACATTTGTTGGTTTTAATAATTTTGCAATCATGACAAAACATTTTCACGTTTATTTAATGAAAAGTTTAACAGATTTTATTACTTTTATCAAAACATGTACAAATTAATAAAAAAAACAATGGATTAAAGAAATAAATTTTAAATTAAATTGCATTGAGGAATTGGACGAACTTTTGCATAAATGATTGTTTTTTTTTTAAAAGAAATTTTTTTAGATTAGTAAATATTAAACATGGATATTCAAAGAAAATATTCACAAGAAAACGAATTTAAAAAAATGTTAATAAAAAAACATATTGTAATTAATGAAAAAGAACACATTGTAAATTTAATGACTTATGGCTATTTAGAATTGACAAAAGACAAAGAATTTGCAAAAAATATGGAAAAATATTGTTTTCTTCGCGAATTTGAAATGTATCAATTATCGTTGATAATGTGGTTTGCAAAATATGCAATAATTTTTTTTTACGGTTTATAAACAATTTTTTTATTTAATTGTAAAAAAAATTTTTTTAGAAAAAAAAATGAATTTGTCATTAAAACAAAAAATTGCTTTTCAATGGCTTGATGAAGGATTAAATTTTTTTATTACTGGTAGTTCTACGGTTTTTATTACTGGTAGTGCTACGGTTGTGGTAAAAGTTATTTGCTTAATGCTTTAGCTTTAAGCGATCAACTCATTAAAAACATTGAATTTACAGCAAGCACTGGTAGAGCAGCTCATCAAATTAAAGGTATGACTACACATAGTTTTGCTGGTATTGAAGTTGGTACTAAACTTATGGAATATTATTATAATCACATGACACCAGACGTTTTTAACAGATGGAAACACGCACGTTTTAATTATTGATGAAATTTCGATGACTAACGCACAAACTTTTGTTTTGTTGCATAATTTAGCGTGTAAAATAAATCAATGTTACGATGAATTATTTGGTGGAATTCAAGTTATTATTTGTGGTGATTTTTATCAATTGCCACCTGTAAAAGGCGATTTCGTTTTTAAATCTTCAATATAGAAGCAATGTATGCATAACGTTCTTGAGTTAACCGAATGTTTTAGAAAAAAAAAATCTCGAATTTTTAAAGGCGTTAAATGAAATACGATTAGGAAAAGTAACAGATAAAACTGTCGATATTTTAATGACCAGACATTTTGAAAATGACGTAAATATAAATTCAAAATACGTGCGTTTGTTTTTTTTAAATCAAGAAGTTGCTTTTTATAATTTACATAAAATAAACGATATTCAATCTGAAGAAAAATGGTTTCATTCAAAAGATGTTATTAAAAATCCTACCCAGCAAGGAAAAATACGTATATTATACATATAAAATACGTCTTTGTCCTACTCTTCGATACGTATATTCTAATTCTTAAATGCAAATCTATAATACGTATTAATTAGATGATTACAATGCGTTGGTAATAGACGTATAATATACGTATTTAAAATACGTCTCAGATATCTATAATTTAAGTATTAAATGCAAATCTATAATTCGTATTAATTAGATAAATAAAATGCGTTGATAATAGACGTATATAAGACGTATTTAAAATTATTAGGTTTCTATAATTTCTGTATTAAATGCAAATCTGTTTATTTATAGATGTCAAATCTGTAATACATGTTCGCAAAATGAAGAGTAGATTGTTGTATTATCGACCGTTGTATAATTATTGCGGAAATAGATTAATTTCTATCTTCGCAGCCATTGTTTTACCACAAAAATTGTGTTGTACAACCGACGTTAATTTGTGCAACTATGCTAGACAACGTTTCCATTATAAAACAAAGTTGTTACAGAACTGTTGTACAACATTTCTACAACTATTGGAAACCAAGCTTAAAAGAACATTAAAACATTTTGAATTGTATAATATTATTGTTTATTTATTTAAAAAAAGTAACTATATACTATAACATAAACTATATACATATAATATAATATAAATGTTAGATATCAATGGAATGGTTCAATCTTGGTGCATTCTTTAGTTTATTCCCGACAACTCTAAATAATTCTTTTTCACTAACGGTATACCTGTCTTGTAACGCTTCTAAAATAAGTTAAGCAAAAATATTTAAAATTAAAAATATCGTCAGCTTAATATATATATAGTTGAATACGACACTTAAGTGTCGCATTTATCATTTTTGAAAAAAATGACTATGTACAATATAAATTGTATCTCACCAAACATAACGTCCTTTAACTTAAGGTTTTCAAACGATATTTTGTTTTCTCTGCCTTTACGTTTACTCCCTTTAATGTTCATATTCGCCATCAGGTTTACGGAAAATAATCTAAAATCGAAAAAATATTAAAGGTAAGATCTGAAGGTGAGATCTGAATGTTGTTAAATTCATTCTTGTTTACCGCTTATTTTGACTGTTAATGTATAAAAAAATGTAATTTAAAAAAAAGCTGCAACAAATTGTTTTAAAACAAATCAATCGTTATTGTTTCGCAGTGGAAGCTATTAAAGTTCCACCACTTATATGGAACCATCAGGCCGTAATAGTCTTAAGAGAAGCAAGAAATATTTTATATAAGTGCAAGGAAGTGCAAGATAAATTATAATATTTGGACAGATGTCCAGAATTAAGAGTTGTTGTTTAAAAGAAGGGTACTATTCAGTAATTAAGTTTGAGTTAAGTAAGTGGTGGTCATGTTAGATTTAAGTACGTGTTGTTGCAGTGTTCTGTAAGTTATTGTGTTTTGTGTTTGTATTGTTCTAAACGTTAAAGTTTTATGTGTCATTTAGTGTTTTTATTGCTTTGAATCTGTGTGTTCGTAAATAATGGTTCTTAGTCTCGCTCAGTCCAGTCTTATCATGTTCTCTTTACATATCAGGTTCGCAACTAGAATAAGTGAGTATAGTCACTAGTGGAACATATTTAGACGTAAATGCCTTAGACGCATGCAAACGTGCAAAAATACCTTAAAAGCATGCAACCTTATAATAAAAATATTCGTTTTAAATTTAGTTTATATACTCAAAGATCGACAAATACAATAATTCTGTTTATTTACATGCAACCCGAATACCTTCAGCCACAGATAAAAACAAAAGAATATCTAAGTAAACCTATCTGAATTTATCAGATAAATATTCAAAAACATTTAACAAAAATCAAAACAATTATTAACAATTGCTATCGTTGTGGTAAGCATAATGTGATACACAATTAACCTAATATAACACAATTACTCAATTCTTTAGATAAAAAGTACAACTTTAAAGCAGAAGTATTACAACAAACAACAAAAACAAACATTTAATATAAAGTGGAAACGCGCGCATGATTGTTTAAAGAAAGAAAATAAAAATACATCAGCGTTAAAATAAAATTCAAAATTATGTAGTATAATACCAGATTCTCGTCAGGAAGTGGACATTGTATTGATCCTTATAAAGATAATACTCTGGTATTTGACGTTTCGAATGTTTTAATGCTCATTTCTAGAAACTCCCGTCGGGGTAACATCCTCAAAACAAGCAAATAAAACCCACCTCTACGTCTGTGTCAAAGCCTTCTTATGTTGCAACATTTGAGAGGACATACTACTGCTCAGCCAAATACCCTAACTTGATCCATTTTAAACAAATTACGCTGATATACTTTTTAGAAAATTATTAAAACACGTTGCGCAAGAAGTAACATTAGAATACAAAAAACTTATAAGTTAAATTATTCCTAAATACTCAAGTACAAATTGAAGGCAAACAAACACACAACAAAATAAAAAACAATTAAGATAAAAGACTTACCATAATTTGATATTGAATAAGAATAAGTCTTGAAGGATATTTTGCGCAATGCCAATGAGCAGTTTATAGAGCGCATGTAAATTGTGATATTATACACAGATGTTGTATGACGTAAATTTGCGGTTAATCAAAATATCCCTCAAGCGAAGCCTCAGTAAATAATAACGCTATTGGTCAAAAAATATCTTAATTGATTGGAGGATGAAAGTGTAAGGTGATTGGTTAATAATGTTGTGTTTAGAGAACATAAAAAATATATAAAATATAAAAAAGAGAGAACATTCAAAAGTGTCCTAAATTATTAAGATAATAAATTTTAACTCAATCAGTTAGGGAAAAGAGTATCGCGGGATCAAAGACATACAATGCAATAAAAGCTCCAATTTGTGTCTTAGATCCACAATGCAAGACAAAATATATTTAAGCGAGTTTTTAAGGTAAATAAATCTAATTGAAAAAGGTGCAATTTTTGTCTTAGATCCACAATGCAAGACAAAATATATTAAAGCGAGTTTTTAAGGTCAATAAATCTAAGTGAAAAAACTGCAAGGTTTAAATTTAAATAAACTTGTCTTTAGCGGCTTAAACTAACATTTATTTGTCAAATTGATATTAGCAACCGACAACAAACGGAAAAATGGTAAACTCATACAAAAGCCCTTCCTCACCGCGTACACTTGTCCAGGTATGCAAGGTGACAACAACAAAAGCGATTCCCCGCATCAGCCTACGCTGTCGGATTCGTGGTACATCGCTAAGATTAACCAGTGCATCCTCAAGACGCAAACCTATCGGAACAAAGCCCCATTGCTGACCCCCTCATAACGGAACACGATCACACGACACAAAACGCAATACATTTTATCATTACCCACTGCGCATATAGACCCTTGCTCAGGTATGCAGAGCGACAACAACGAAAGCGATCCCCCGCATCAGTCTACGCTGTTGGATTCGTGGTACATCGCTAAGACTAACCAGTGCATCCTCAAGACGCAAACCTATCGGAACAAAGCCCCATTGCCGACCCCCCCATAACGGAACACGATCACACGAGCAGCGACACAAAACGCAATACATTTTATTATGGTCCATAATTATGGTCCATAATTATGGACCATAATTATGGACCATAACCATATTATGGTCCATAATTATGGACCATAATATGGTTAACTAAATCAAAATTACAATAGTAATTTTATTTTAAAATGATATTAAAAAAGTTAACTGGAGAATAGAGTAACAACCAAGAACGTAAAGATGTACAAAAAGCTGTCTATAAATCGAGTCAATAAATAAGAAGCAATAGCTGAATAACAACATTTATTTTTTACAATTAGTATTTATCTTTATTCAAATATATTCGACTAAAGGTCGTCTTCAAAAGACGTTCAGAATACACATTTTTTTCGCATGCCTTTGTGGTCTCAAATAAAAACTTCAAAAAAAAGTATTTAAAACATTTTTTAATGATGACTTTAGTCTTTTAAAGACGTTTTAAACACGTATTATATTTGTTTGCGAAAGATATCTTTCATATATAGAAATTATACGTATTTAATACGTCTCTTATAGATAAGTTTTATATTCAGCTAAAACTCATCTTGAAAATTCGTTTTTTATGCGTATTTTTATCGTCTACTCTAGAAAAGATGTGAATAATATTAAAATAATACGTATTGAATACGTCTTGTCCTTGCTGGGTAAAGTCAATCACATGTTTCAAATTCCTACTTGTGTACTTTTAAAAGAAGGAGCTGTTGTCATGTTAGAAAAAAACGTAAACGTAGAAGAAGGGTTGTGTAACGGTACGATTGGCGTAGTGACGTTTAGTGAATCAAACGGTGTTTGGGTTTGTATAAACGGTGGAGAATTTGAAATTGAAAATATATAAGTAGACATTTTAGGTTTACAAAACGACTCTTGTCTGGCAAAATAAAAATAGAAAACACTGTTTTGTTTTATAAAAAAATTGTCAATGCTATATACAGTCGACTAATTAACAATCTCACAGAAAAAAAAGATGAGCACTGATCTTAGTTTGGAAAAATATTGCAAAAAGAACTTTAAAAATTTTAAAGGCGTTTTTCCCTTTGACCAAGTCAACAGCGTATTTAAACAGAATTTTCAAGTCGGTGATTTTTTTATCTACAACAGTGACTCGTATAAAAAAAATGGAACGCATTGGCGCATGATGCTCAAATTAAACAATAATAGCTTGTTTTGCTTTGACAGTTTAGGTAAGGAAAGTTTTTTTTCAACAAATTCCGATTGCTGTTCAAAACAATCCTGACCTCTTAGAATATGCCGAAACAAACTCGCTATCGACAGCGTTAAGTCAAATGACTCTTAACTTCAACGACCATCTTTATACTAGACGTAAAAAACATTTTCCGCTTCGCGACACGCAAGACGAATGGTTTACAAAGTTTTGTTTTTATTATTCGCAAAAACACGACTTCAAAACGTAAACATTGTTTTTAGTGATTTGGCTTATCAACTTGGCGATTAGTCGCTTTGCGGACCGTGGATCCTCGATTTTCTTCATTTACTAAAACAGCAATGGTTTAATTCTAGCGATATCGAAATTGATATCATAGACAGTATTCTTAATCAATACTTTACTTTTGCAGGAGATAACAGAACAAAAAACGAATGCGTTTCAAATTTGTCAGATTTTTTTAATTTTGTCAAAACCTCATTTTGATAATATGCAGACAAAACAGCGCAAAAGTTAGTTGAAAAAGATTTTCAAATTTTTGATCGTTTAAATGCCAAAGAAAGAACAGCCGGCGCACTCTATCGTCGAAGACCGACGCCTTATTCAGGCATAAACAAAGACGTTTACAAAAATGATATTAAAAAAAACAATACGTTGACTGCTTTTTTGTCGCAAAACAACTTGCTGTTAGTAAAGGATCCAGTTACACCGTTTTTTAACAAACGACAACTTGAAAAATTTGCCTGCCATTTTAAAATCAAACCTTATGCAAACTTATTTGGACGATGATCAACAAAGACACACCTATAACAACTATCAAAAATTAAAAAACATTGCTCAATTTTATTCAATTCCACTTGAACAACGCAACGAACTTAGCGAATTGAAAAAAATGCTACAAAAATATGAACTGTAAAAAAAACATTATTTAATTAACAAAAAAATTATATATACATAGTTTTTTTTTATTATTTACATATTTTTTTTATTAAAAGTATAACTTTGTTAAAGCTTTTAGTTTTTCTAACATAAAATCGTCTTCTGAATCCCATTCAGATGAATCTGAATCCTCTGATTCCCGTTTATATAAATCTTCTTCATCTTCTTCTTCAAAATCGTTCTTTTCGTCAATAATATCATTGTTATGTACATAACCAGGATGATTTTGATCAATAACAATAGAATAATCAGTGTTTTCTCCATCTTCAACAACAACATCTTCTGCAGCAAGTTCTTCTGTTTTTTTTTCAAAATTACACTTTTTTTAAAATAAAAAACTATAGAAAAATTACATTTTTTTTAAATCAATTTTTTTTTATTAAAAAATCATTTTTTATTAAAAATCATTTTTTATTAAAATCATTTTTTTATTAAAAAAAGAAATATAAAAAAAAAACAAAAACAAATTATATTGTATTCTTCTTAAAAATTAATTATAACAAATTATACTTCCTTTTTAAATCTCTATCACTAAAGTAACCAGTGTCAGTTAGTTTCTTAATAAAAAAATAACATTCGGAATTAGGGCAATGCATTTTTAAGTTAATTTCGTGATGTCCGCAACCAAACCTTTTATTAATAGATAAGTATTCGATGTCCTTGTTCACTGACGGAATCGTATGCAAACTGTTAATGTCAAACGAAACGCAACCAATGTACTCTATTAAGTTTTTTTCCATAGCGCCTTTATGATAAATAACACTCTTTTCCTTGCAGAGTAGTTTCAGCAACTCTTTAACGTCATCACAACGGTAAATACTAAATACAAAAATGTCAAGGTTATTGATATTGCGCTTGACATATTCAGCTCTTTGTTGATGAAATTCTTTCATTTGTTCTTTTGTTTTATATACTTGCAAATGATAATTAATACAAGTAAAATGTCGATTCACAATGCTTATTTCACGAATGCAAAAGTCTCCCCATTCATGCTTTACTCCACAATCAATAGCTTTAATATCCATTACAAAATCAAACATCTTTTTTATGAACCTGTTTTAGAAAAAAAAAAATTAAAAAAGTTTTTTAAGAATGACAAAAATATATCATTCTTAAAAATTATATATATTTTTTTAATGTTTTATATATCTTATTTTTAAAGAAAAGAAAATTGCAATAATAACTTTTTTTATTCGCAAAAAAAAAAAATTTAGCAAAAAAAAATCATTAAACAATTAGGCGTCCAAAAAAGTAATTATTTTTGACTTTTTCCCAGAAATCATCTTTGTCATCTTCCTGATACATATATACTATAGCATTGTTAGCTTCAAGAACATAATTAAATTTAGTACGATGACTATCGCTGATAAAATATTCGCTTTGCTTTTTAAAATATGTCAAAAATGCTTGCATCTGATGTTGATCCACTTGAATATCATTAAACGTCTGATTTTCATAACGCTCAATTTGATCAGGCGTCCAAAAATCACTTTCATCAAAATGATTTTGCATGCTCAGTGATTTTTTCCAACATTCAAGTATCAAGGCCAAATAGTGCACTTTAAGTAATTTAATAACAAGAGGAACCTTGTTGAATCTAGTAGCAAAAATATCGATTGCATCTTCAGAAATAAAAAAATCAATCAACTGATCCATGTGACAATCCCATTTTGTGTACGGTTTAATTAATTTTGAAATAAAATTATAAACAGAAATATGCAAAAAATATTTATCATCGTTCATCATATTGTAATGAAATTTATGACAAAACTCGATGCGTTCTATAAA